CCCCCAAAACCCCCCCCCCCCCCCCCCCAACCTCACTGCCAGCACCAAAAAATAAGCCCTACTCACCAGGCTGGGCTTCTGGGTATCTTCAGACAGAGCATTGCCCCTCATGCCATTCCAGATCCACCTGAGGCCTTTTTTTACTCAGGGCCCGGAATATATATATATATATTTTTCTAACCTTATTTATTCCTGTCTTCCTTCTTCTTTTTCTTTGTCCCTTCACCAAATACCGTGAATCTTGTCTGCTTGGTACCCAACCCTCTGTCCCTTGCCTCACTGTTTACCCCACGCTCCTCACTGCCCCTGGTGAGCATGATCCTCAGTGGAGTTGTATGTTGCAGCTCCTCCTTAGACAGGCCAGCAAGTTCCTGCCTACCAGTTTCCTGGCAGTGAGCAAGCTCTCAGAGAGGCAGATGCTACTAGGAGGAGATAGTATTCTCAGAGACAGCTACATGCAAAAGCTTCCAAAGGTAGGCAAAGTATAGGTGAGCGTGAGTGAGGGCAAGATGCCTGGATTCTAGTGGGCCCCAGGCTGCTCCTGTCATTTGGCCGGACTTACTCTGAAAGTGCTGCCCCTGCATGGAATCCTGGAATCCTGGGATCCTGGGCCCCACCCATGGCCTGGGTCCAGCTCAACTGAAGTCACAGACTTGGAGAAATAGGCTAAGACCCTCACCGTGGTCAATTCTGCTCCTGCTTCTACCCCTAGTGCCTGAAATTTACCTCCTGAAGGTAGCCTTAGCTCTTTGGAGAACTCATTTTGGAGAGATAGAGAACACACATATGTATGTACACATATGCCTGGCTTATCATCCTGTGAGATGACCAGTTTGGTATTTGCTCCCTAAAAAGGACTGTAGCCTTCTGGAGGAACTGGGCTCTGGGCTGGAACTCTGGACCCAGCTCTGCTCAGCCTCACGTAGAGTCCTCTAGCTGCTTCACTGAAAGGCGTTGCTCTGCCTGGAGAGGGGATAAAGCTTTGACTCTGAACACCATCAAAGCCAGGCAGAGCAGGGCCAACCTTAAGGGGCTGTACTGGGATGTAGCCAGTAACAGTTCCGGTGGACCTCAGGGGGCAGTTCCTGGGAATGGAGCAGGTGCAGGTGCTTGAATATACATCCCTCTGGTTCCAGGTACACAGAGTATGGCCTCAAATGCTTCCCCATCCCACTCACTCTGGCAGGTTTGCACTGTTTCCCTTCATACACACACCCTCCAGGCTCTCAAGTGAGGCTTAGGTCTCTGGGTTTCTGACTACAGGACAGTCTGTTGTGAAGCCTTCTGCCCTTTGCTATCACCCCAAAGGTCAATGTAATTGAACTTGGCCTGGACTACAGTATGGAGAATGGTTCTCTTATCTCAAGTTTCAAAATGAAGGGGAGAGGAGAACCCTGATAATGGCAAAGGGGCCACAGAGGTGTTTTAAGAGCAGTAGGGGACAGGTCCCTTGGCCTCTCTTTGGTGGTCTCAGGTGCCCAAGACATTGGAGGGGGTGGGACTACCCCTGGAACTCCCAGCTGGGTCTCCCTGCATGGGGCACGGGCCCTGTGACTTCCTGTCAGGCCAACACTGTTCCTCTGTCTCTCATGTTTGGTTGCCTTCCACTTCCCTTTTTGCTCCAGGCTGTGGCCTCTGCAGCCCAGGCAAGCCTACTCCGGCAGCAGGAAGAACTGGACAGGAAAGCAGCCGAGCTAGAACGAAAAGAGCGGGAGTTGCAGAACACTGTGGCCAACTTACATGGTAAGGGAGGCCACACTAGGTCCTGGGTTCCCGTCCTGGTGCAGGAGAGTTCCCTCAGCCTGCTTGTTCCTGGGGCAGCCTCAGCTCTTTGCTGAGCTCCTGATCATCTTAGAATGGTGTTGGTCCTGGGGAGAGCAGTAAGTGGAAGTCAGGAGACCTGTAGTGTAACCTTAATGGGTGTAGATTATTTCTGCATTCCTTTTCAGCTGTAAAATTGTTTGATAAGAATGGGGGCACTGGCCCCACTATTCCTTGGTTATAGGCTGTTCAAAAAAAATAATCACTTAGGCAGTTTAGCTCTGTGTTTCCCAGTACATTTGGGGTCCATTATCTTGCACTGATCGTGTGGGTGTTTATGTCCTATCATCCTTTTTCCTTCCTACTTTATATCCATGAATACCCTGAACCCCACTTGTTGACACCCCTCTGGGGGTCCTGAATTGGCCCATAAGCTGGGCCTCATCTTGTTATCTCCTTCTACACAGTGAGAGAGAACAATTGGCCGCCTCTGCCTTTGTGGTGCCCTGTCAAGCCCTGCTTCTATCAAGACTTCTCCACAGAGATCCCTGCTGACTACCAGCGAATATGCAAGATGCTCTACTATCTCTGGATGTGTGAGTCCAGCTCCTGCACCTCTGAGCTTAGGGCTGAAATGGACTGTGTCTTGAGATCCTTGTCTATGCTCTGGCTGCTCCTCCCTGGCAGACTCCAGCCTTTCTCAGTGCTGGTTGGGCTGGGGTGGGGATCTTTGCCCACATAATTGGCCCTCTGAAGACTGCTTCCTGTCATGGGAACCTCCGACCTCAAGGGCGAGTGCAGACCATGCATCAAGTAGGGTGAGACTAGCTGGAGGCTTCTGAGTTCTTGGGGAGCTCATTGCACTAAAAGGTTCTCCTTTGGTGGAGGCTTCCCCTCTCCACAGACCCCTGGGCTCCTAGGAGTGAGGATAAAAGACTCCCTGTTGCTACCCTGTGGACCATCCAGGGCCAGGGAAAAGAGTTGCTTAGAGAAGGACTCCATTCCCCAAGGATCAGTTATTAGGTCTGCACCCTCTCCATGGCCACCCCTTAGATACCTGGGCTGTCCCATCACCTCTGAGGAGCTTGGTTTGGTCCCTGGTTTTGAGGTCCCAGAAAAGCAAGGACAGGAGCTAGCCCTGCCTGGGTACAGACCGAGGTCCTCTACTTTTGCTGCAGCTGCCCTGACAGCATGGACCTCATCTCCTTTCTAGGGGATAGTTTGACATATCCGGGAGCCCTTCAGCCACCTTGGCACCAGCCCACGTCTGTCTCCCCCCCTTCCACAGTGCATTCAGTGACTCTGTTTCTGAACCTGCTTGCCTGCCTGGCCTGGTTCTTAGTCGACAGCAGCAAAGGAGTAGACTTTGGCCTCTCAATCCTGTGGTTCGTGATCTTCACCCCCTGTGCCTTCCTTTGTTGGTACCGACCCATCTATAAGGCCTTCAGGTGAGTGGGGATGGGACAAGGGGGGGAGTATATGGCTGGCATCCCAGGTAGCAAGCCAAGGCCATGAGCCCTAGGATCCCATTCCAGTCAGAGCAGAATAGATCATGGGAAATTCACTTCCCATTCCCACCCACAGCCAGAGTTGGCAGGGATCAGGAGCCATTTTCCTCAGTTGTACCTAAGGTCTGTTTTGGGCCCTCTTCTTGGACCAGGAAAGGAGACCTAGAGAGGGGAGCACGAGCCTTACTTGTCCTTCCACTGCACCCAGTCTGTTTGGTGCAGGAGGATTTCAGTCACTGGGAAGAGGAAGGGACTTCCTCAGCTCCCTTCCAAGGTTCTAGGGCAGCGATTTTCAACCGGTGTGCTGCAAGCATTTTAAAACATGCAGTACTTGACTATTTAGTCTTGGGCACTGACCTCTTTTCCCTTAGATTGTCAAATAAAAAAATGACAGCAGCAAACACAGTAGCTGTTCAGTGTGAATGAATCAAAAGTATACCTATTTTTTGTCAGATTGGCAAAAAGTATATTTTTGTTGTGCCACAGAATTTTAGTAGTTTATGTGTGCCATGATATGAAAAAGGTTGAAAATTGTTGCTCTAGGGCAGGGGTCCTCAAACTTTTTAAACAGGGGGCCAGTTCACTGTCCCTCAGACCGTTGGAGGGCCAGACTATAGTTTAAAAAAAAAACTATGAACAAATTCCTTTGCACACTGCACATATCTTATTTTGAAGTAAAAAAACAAAACAGGAACAAATACAATATTTGTATTTGCATGTGGCCCGCGGGCCGTAGTTTGAGGACCCCTGCTCTAGGGTATTCTATGATAGAGTCAGACTCTGAGTTACGCTCTTAATAGCTTATCTCTCAATGCTTACTTATGCCCCTCCCTTTACTTTCCTAGTAACTGTGGAGCATCGCTAAATGCCAGTATTTGACCAGCTGGCTGAGAATAGATTCTGTGGACTTTAATGGATCCACTTTACAGACCCTTAGGGCTTTTGGAATTGTGCCTCAGAGCTGATGCTGTCAGGGCTGGGATGCACTCAGCAGGGAGGACTTGAACCCTCACTGTATTCTAGCCCTCATGGACATGGAAATGGAGGTGCTCAAAACACCAGTTTTGTCTAGTGTCTGCTACTTCCCAAATACCTTTCCTGCCACTCAGGCCTACAGTTTTATTATTAGAGGTTTATACCTTTGGCTTAGATTTTCTTCCCTGTTATGAAATGCAGATAAGTACTCCGGAAGATGGACTGTTACACTCTTTCTATTGTCCTTTGGTGAAGCAACTTCATTAGTTCTTTGAGGAAGGGATTAAGTATTGTCCCCTTAGATTGGAAGGCAGTGAAAGGCAAGCCCTTTCTGATTACAGCTTGTGGGTTTGTAGACAGTGTGACCGAGTCTCTGGTGCTCTGTTTACTCCCCCCTATTCTGCCTCTGGCTTCTGGTGAGGAGGAGTGTCAGACCATATGAGGAATGCTGTGGGATGAGCCCCAAGCCCTTTTGTGACTTCTGGTTTCCCCCTTCTCTCCACAGGTCGGACAACTCTTTCAGCTTCTTCGTGTTCTTCTTTGTATTTTTTTGTCAAATAGGGATCTATGTCATCCAGTTGGTCGGCATCCCTAACCTGGGGGACAGGTGAGACCTGGGGCAGTACAGAGGGAACTGTTCTTTGGAGGCTCAACTCAGCCTCTCTTGCCCTGTTTGCCAGCCTCTGAGGGCCCCTCTTCCACCATAGCAGGGAGAGTGGTAACTGGGCCAGCTTGGATCTGTCTTCAAGCCCCCTCTCCAGTTCTTTACCAGTAGCCACTCACTGTCTTGCCTTGTTCACCACTTTCTGGGGTGAACATGGCCTGAATCCTTAGGCTACCTGGCTGTGTCTTACACTGGATTACAGCCTCTTCCTTTGCTCTTATCACACCCTCCTAGAAGCTGGTGCTACTTCCACAGGTTCCACACATGCCCTTGGGTTTGGGCAGCTGCTGATGGATGCCCTGGTCTTTGCAGACCCTGAGCTGTGACTTTCCTGGAGGCCCTGTAACCTAAGGAGATGGAGCCCTAGCCTCTCCTGGGTGGCTCCTCTGGCTGCTCTCTTGGAGCAGACAGCTGGCTTGAGTTTCCTGGGTGCTACAATCCTCCACTCAATATTAGTTTCAGAAATAAAAGCCGATGGTTGATGTTTTCCTTTCTGCCTCAGTGCACAGGGAACATTACAGAAAGGTCAGGCTGGCACTTGGCTAAAAGCCTGAGCCTGGAAGGGCTGCACTATTTTGGTCTCATCTCTCCAGTGGAGCTGGCAAGTACAGAGCAGTAGGGAGGGGCTGAATCACCTTGAACTCAGAGCCAAGTGCATACTGCCTTTCCACCACCCCTCTTCCTTCTCACCATGTTTATAACCTACCCCTTTTGTCTGTATATGGTGACCCAATTACATTACTCATTACCCTAAGTGAGATCCTGGTTGAAAGGCTATGATTAATAACGGCTGTTTGCACCCAGGACAGGGATGATTGTGCCCCTCACTGCCCTGCCTAGGCCTACCTGGATGAGTTCTGCAGCCTCCAGCCTCCCAATATCTTTCTCATCTCACCTCCTTACACTGTGTTTTGATTGTAAAATACACATAACATAAAATATACCATTTTATGTACCACTTAAACCATTTTAAAAGATACCTCTGTTTTCTTCTAAGTTTTATAGTTTGAGTTATTATTAGGTCATTGATCCATTTTGAATTAATTTTTGAAGTAAGGAATCCAACTTAATTGTTTTGCATGTGGATATCCAGTTGTCCCAGCACCATTTTTTTATGAGTTCTTTTTAAAAAATCTTCATTGTTGAAAGTATTACATTGACCCACTCCAGGCTACCCCTTCCGTCCACCCCAGGCCCTTATTGTTTGCGTCCATGGGTTACACATATATGCATACAAGATCTTTGGTTGATTACCTCCCACCCACACACCCTTCCCTGCCTTCCCTCCGAGAAATTCCCCACTCTGTTCAATGCTTCCATGTCTCTGGATCCATTCCATTCATTAGTTTATTTTGTTAAGTAGATTCCATATGTCATGTGATACTTGTCTTTCTCTGACTGACTTATTTCACTTAGCATGATACTCTCCAGGCCCCTCCTTTGCTGTCTCAAAGGGTAAGAAATTCTTTTTTTTTTTTTTTTTTTTTTACAGCTGCCTAGTATTTCATGGTATAAATTTACTATAGCTTTTTTATCCACTCATCCACTGATGGGCTCTTGGGCTGTTTTCAGATCTTAGCTATTCTTTCTGATTGGTGTTTCGGGTTTCTTAGGATATATTCCTAGAAGTGGGATCACTGGGTCAAAAGGCAGTTCCATATGAGGAAACTCCATACTGTTTTCCACAGTGGCTGCACCAGTCTGTATTCCCACCAGCAGTGTACTAGGGTTCCCTTTTCTCCACATCCTCCTCAGCACTTGTCATTTGTTGATTTGTTGATGGTAGCCATTCTGACAGGTGTAAGGTGATACCTCATTGACATTTTAATTTGCATCTCTCTGCTGATCTTTGAGGATTTTTTCATATGTCTTTTGGCCATCTGTATATCCACTTTGGAGAAGTGTTTAGGTCCTTTGCCCATTTTTTAATTGGATCGTCTGTCTTCCTTTTGTTAAGTTGTAGGAGTTCCTTATATATTTTGGATATTAACCCTTTATCAGATGTATAACTGCCAAATATATTTTCCCATACATTGGGCCTCTTTTTGTTTTGTTGATGGTTTATTTTTTTATTTTTATTGATTTCAGAGAGGAAGGAAAAGGGAGAGAGAGAGAGAAACATCAATAATGAGAGAGAGTCATTGATTGGCTGCCTCTTGCACGCCTACTACTGGGGATCGAGCTGCAACCAGGGCATGTGCCCTTGAGTGGACTCGAACCTGGGACCCTTCAGTCCGCAGGCCAATGCTCTATTCACTGAGCCAAACTAGCTAGGGCTGTTGATGGTTTCTTCTGTTGTGTAGAAGCTTTTTCTTTTGATGTAGTCCCATTTGTTTATTTTCTCCTTAGTTTCCTTTGCCCTAGGACAGTGGTCGGCAAACATTAGTCAACAGAGCCAAATATCAACAGTACAACGATAGAAATTTCTTTTGAGAACCAAATTTTTAAAACTTAAACTATATAGGTAGGTACATTGTTATTAACTTAATTAAAGTACTCCTAAGCTGGCCTTTGCTAAAAATGTCCTCAATCTGGTTGAGGTACGTTCGCTGAGGTCGACCCCTTCCAACTCTCCCATCCACACTCGTCTTGTATACTTGTTTCGTCTATCTCCTTTCCGAAAACCAACTTCTGCGCATGGGCCACGAAGTTTCAATCGCACTGTACGTGCGCGCCCGCATGTGGTATTTTGTGGAAGAGCCACACTCAAGGGGCCAAAGAGCCGCATGTGGCTCGCGAGCCGCGGTTTGCCGACCACTGCCCTAGGAGATGTATTGATAAACATATTGCTATGAGAGATGTCTGAGATTTTGGTGCCTATGGTTTCTTCTAGGACTTTTATGGTTTCACATCTTACTTTTAAGTCTTTTACCCATTTTGAGTTTATCCTTGTATATGGTATAAGTTGGTGATCTAGTTTCATTTTTTTTGCATATACCTACCCAATTTTCCCAACATCACTTATTGAAGAGACTCTCTTGACTCCATTGTATGCTCTTGCTTCCTTTGTCAAGTATTAATTGAGTGTAATGGCTTGGGTTGATTTCTGGGGTCTCTGTTCTGTTCCATTGATCTATATGCCTCCTCTTGTGCCAGTACCAGGCTGTTGTGATTAGGGTGGCTTTGTAGTATAACTTGATATCTGATATTGTGATTCCTCCAACTTTGTTCTTCTTTCTCGAGATTGCTACAGCTATTCGGGGTCTTTTGGATCCATATAAACTTTTGGAGTATTTGTTCTAGACCTGTGAGATATGCTGTTGGTATTTTAATAGGGATTGCATTGAATCTGTAGATTGCCTTGGGTAGTATGGACATTTAAATGATGTTATTTCTACCAGCTCATGAACACGGAATATTCTTTCACTTGTTTATATCTTCTTCTATCTCTTTTTTCAACTTCCTGTAGTTTTCTGAGAACAGGTCTTTTGCCTCCTTGGTTAAGTTTAGTCCTAAATGTCATAATTTTTTTGTTGCAATTGTAAACGGAAGTGTTTGCTTAGTTTCTCTTGCTGAGAATTTATTATTGGTGTATAAAAAACCATCGATTTTTGGGTGTTGATTTTGTATCCTGCAACATTGCCAAATTCATTTATTAAATCTAGTAGTGTTTTGGTGGAGTCTTTAGGGTTTTCTATGTACAATATGTCATCTGCGAATAATGGGAGTTTTACTTCCTCCTTTCCAATTTGGATGCCTTTTATTTCTTCTTGTCTGATTGCTGTGGCTAGGACTTCCAGTATTATCCTATATAATAAAAGGCTAATATGCAAATTGACCAAATGGCAGAATGACCGGTTGCTATGATGCACACTGACCACCAGAGGGCAGATGCTCAACACAAGAGCTTCCCCCTGGTGGTCAGTGCGTTACCACAGGGGGGAGCGCCACTCAGCCAGAAGCCTGGCTCTCCAGTGGGCTCAGAGCTGGTGAGCACAGCCGTGGTGGTGGGAGTCTCTCCCGCCTCCGAGGAAGCACTAAGAAACAGTGAACCCGTTTTCTGGCTGAGCTGTGTTCCCAGCAGGTGGACATCCCCTAAGGGATCCCAGACTGCAAGAGGGTGCAGGCTGGGCTGAGGGACACCGCCCCCCCCGCCCCCCGCCCCAACTGAACAAACGAATGTCGTGTACTGGCCCTCTAGTGTTGAATAAGAATGGTGAAAGCAGACATCCCTGTCTTGTTCCTGTTCTTAGGGGAAATGGTTTTAGTTTTTGCCCATTGAGTATGATATTTGCTGTAGGTTTGTCATATATGGCCTCATCATGTTGAGATATGTGCCCTCTATTTCCACTTTGCTGAGAGTTTTTATCAAAAATGGGTGTTGGATTTTTGTTGAATGCCTTTTCTGAGTCTATTGATATGATCATGTGATTTTTGTCTTTCAGTTTGTTTATGTGATGTATCATGTTTATTGATTTGCAAATATTATACCAGCCTTGCATCCCTGGAATAAATCCCACTTGGTCATGGTGTATGATCTTTTTAATATATTGCTGGATGCAGTTTGCTAATATTTTGTTGAGGATTTTAGCATCTATGTTCATCAGGGATATTGGCCTATAATTTTCTTTCTTTGTAGTGTCTTTATCCAGTTTTGGGATTAGGGTAATGCTGGCCTCATAAAAAGAGCTTGGAAGTGTTCCTTCCTCTTGGATTTTTTGGAATAGCTTGAGGAGTATAGGTGTTAGTTCTTTGAATGTTTGGTAAAATTCCCCTGTGAAGCTATCCGGACCTGGGTTTTTGTTTGCTGGAAGTTTTTTTTATTACTGCTTCTATTTCAGTTGTTATTGGCCTATTCAGGTTTCCTGATTCTTTCTGATTCAGTTTTGGGAGATTGTATTTTTCTAGGAATTTTTCCATTTCATCCACATTGTCCAGCTTGTTGGCATACAGTTATTCATAGTATTTTCTTGCAATCCTTTGTATTTCTGTGGTGTCCATGG